AAATGCAAGTAGAAAGATAGGAACCACCTTTGGTGGGAAGGTAACAGCGGCCTGTGCACCTTTGGCGTTTAGTCATGCCGGTCACATGGCCACGGAGATGTCTTCGGACAGCGCTGGCTCTTCGGCTTTGAAACGGAGATGAACCCTGCCCCCTAGAGTCGGGAATGTCTAGCACATATGTGTGAGGGGAATTTTTACCTTATCCTATGTCAACAAGCAGTGAACCTAAAAGGAGAATAGCACAAAGCAGTAAGCCATTTCCCTTCTGCTCTTTTAAGTGTATATTCCAATAAACGTTCCTTATGAAAATCTCATGGATGGGCTTTTGGGCTGCCTTTGTCCACCCCAACTAAGGCAGATTAATTTAGGGTGTCAATTTGCCTGATTGTTTAATTAACAGAGATATTGTCTGCCATTCTCCTTGTCTTTCCACAGCGCTTACGCCAGCTCACTACTCCATCAGAAGACTTGCCCCAGCCAAAGAAGCATCTGATGGGCACTTCTGGACGTGAATGTTCTGATGTGGGATCCCAGCATCCAGTCAAGGAAGTGCTTGGCAAGACAGGGAAGGAAACCAACTTCTAGAGCTTTCTGACATTCTGGAAGAGTCTCTTCATATTTCTGAAGACGTCTACTTCTATCCAGGTTGAGTTTCCTCCGAGGTCTTCCTTATTCTCTTAAGATGTCAGCAATTTCTAAGAACGGATCACTGGATGGAAAGGAACCAACCCTTGCTTTTTCTATCAGCACAAGAGCAACTGTAAAGTCATCGCAGTGAAGAGGACCACAGCTCAAAATCTTCATGAAATTCTTCTCATTGACATCGTTGGAGAAGGGAACTATGCTGCATATACACTCTATCCTTGAACTGTGTTGTTTTCTGTTTGCAAGAATTAAATACACAGCCTGATCAGTACCTGAAAACCACCTGTTGAAGCTGGTCAACCTGACTCATCCTTTCTTTAATCATTCTTCCACTGCTACCTCTACTCTTTGATGCCATGTCAATGATTCTGTGAAAAAAAACCACTAATCCAGGAACCTCTGAGATTAGCTAAATGTGTGTGACGGCAGGATGAATGCATCTTGGACAACTTTGATGGATTACTCTTTTTTTTTTCTATTGTTCTCAATGGTTTACATTAATGTGTACAGGTGAAGGCAAATATCATACCACTCTGTTTGGACTTTCTAAATTAAAGTTGACTGAACAGTCTCTCCCGCTGGGGTTGCCCAAAGGAGGGGAAAATGGCAAATTGGAAGCAAAATAATTTTGTGAGATACTTTCCTTCACATTCTCTCTTTCATCTTTTGGAGAAAAAATTGGCACCAAAAGGCTGACAGTCCTTCAGTTTGAATATACCTCATCTGACATTGCTTCGTGTGACATCCTTAAGTTGGTGGAAAACTAGAGGAAAAAAAATGTGACTCGAATGGGAGCTGCTGTAAAAAAGGAAACGCCAAAATTGCCTTAGTGTGTGTGGGAAACACATAAGAAAGAACCAACTTGGGAATAGCAATAGCACTTAGACTTATATACCGCTTTACAATGCTTTACAGCCCTCTCTAAGTGGTTTACATAGTCAGCATATTGTCCCTAACAATCTGGGTCCTCATTTTACCCACCTC